TGGTATGCAATAGAAATTTCACTTTTCCACCATTTCAATAAAAAGAGGATTAATGACTTTTTGCCAGATAAAGGTGGAGAAGATTTTAGAATCTTACCAACTTGATAAAAAAAAAATGGCTAGTTTTACATAATACGCTTTTTAAGTTCAACAGTAATGATTAAGCAAATTTTAAAGAGTCAGATTTATAAATTGAAAATATCACAAATTATCATCAAAACAGAAAAAAATAATGAGATATATCGTAAGCTCAAAGGTGAGAAAAATGTTCCCTAAAACATATGCATGAAAAGTGTATTCCTTCTTAAGTTAAGGCTCAAAATTCTACATATAATAGATACAAAAAACTAGAGGGTACACTGACAAAACCAAAATTGTTTTATATAAGAAAACAAGGAAATTAGTTCAAATGAACCAATATATAAAGAAAATATATGAAGCCCAATTTCACACATGTTAATTTCTAGAAAAGCAATCAACCCACAGACTCTTAATCCTAATGTTTTCACAGATTTTGCATATGTGGCAAGTCAGTTTTTAATTTTTATGGCTAAATTATCACTTTTGATGTACTTGATGTTTAACAGTAGAAATATAAAAAGTGTTACAGACTTTTTTGCTAATTGAAATAAATTTATTGTATATATTTATTTATGACTGCAAACAGGTTTATTTTTGTACTTAGTTTTGTCTAACATCATTATAACCAAATAATGATAATATCATCCATTTCCTTTTAAAGGAAACATTAAGTTTTCATTGACAAGTTTGAGAAGAATCAATATCATAATTTGGAGGGACAATTAAATCTCTTAATGTTATTCCTACAACATTGTGGCTATTCCATTCTATTTGCAACTTCAGGTATATATAATAGAGTTACTATTTTCAGGTAGAATGTTTCTCCTTTTTGCAGTCAAGAGAACTGCAGAATAGAATGGTTGAAAAATAAATTACACTCTTCTTTTAAAATCTAATTATGCGCTCTATCCAAAAATAAAAAAATTCAAAACATTACTATCCCTATAACATTTTTTAATCTAAAAATAATCAGCTAGATTACATCTGCACACACAAATGCCTCAGCTATACTTATGTGCATCTAAGGATAAAAGAAAGCATTACAGGGATTGCAGGCTATAATATTTAATTCGTTAGAAGACAATCATAGTATGTATTACAACCCAGATCATGCAGAATAGACTTTGAACTTCAAAGAATCCATATGCAGAGTTGACCTGACAGGTGACCTCCTGGCTACCAAGGGCAAATCCCCATGATTGACCTCAATTGCATTTGATATGAGAAAAACTGTTTGACAGGTAAATATATAAACTAACCCAAAAAGCAACAAAAACAATCCCTCAGACATTTCACACATTTTGATGAGGGTCAAAGGCCATGTGCACATAACAGGCCAACAGTAATTGATAAAACCTGGATTTGAATAAAATGTAATGTTACATTTGAGAGTCTTTTGTCTTCATAAGTCTAATGGAGACAATTTATGTCCTGGTCTCAAAAACACTTGAAGTCCCATTTCAACCCTAATTACACTAAGCTGAAGATGCCAATGGAAATAGAATATATATAAGTATTCATCCAAGCATTACAAAGTTTATTACTGTTTATGGCTAAAAAAAAAAAAAAAATAAAAAAAAAATAAAAACTTAGTGATGAGGAAGTCCTGAAAGCTATTAAAAAAACTAAATAATAAAGCATCACTTCACATTGAGGCTGAACATTCGAAAATAGCATACTCTCTGCCTGAATTTAAAACACATTTCTCAGTTTCATGAAGGAAGTCTGGAATCAGAAGCCCACTAAAGAAGGTGTATATCACACAGTAATGCTCTAGGAAGACAATGTATTCACTAGGCTCTCATCCTTCTATGAAAATCAACTCCTCACAGCCCATTTCGCTTCCATTCTGGTAAATTCAATGGCATATATGTGATCAGGCAACTCCAAGAGATTGCATACCTCTTCAATAGAAAATTGTATACCTGCTCTGTTGACTTCACATCAGCATATGACTATATCAATAGAAACTTCTCATTCACTAGAAACTACCTTCAAAGTTCTGAATTTACTGTCTAGATTTGATAAAGGAACTATGTAAGTTCACAAAGTCATACATGTCTGGTGAATACTCCAATACCAAAACATTTCAAACTTCTTCAGGAGTATGACAAGAAGGAAATGAGATGCCCAGTCTTCCTAGACTATGATCCATTTATATACAATCACAAATATGAAGAGATGGGCACTGATCATTTAAGCATTCTATGCCATATCACAAACAAATCTACTAATGGAAAACAGCATTACTGCTTTCTTTCCCAAGGCCAGTGTACTAATTATGGAGATGGGAGAGAGATATCTGAATGACACAGGTATATATCAATGGAGACTCTAGATCATTAATGTTTGTTGGGCTCATTACACTCTTTAACAAAATATACTATTGATATAATTTAGATGCTAAAATGATTCTTTTACTCTAACTAAAATATATAATTTTAAAAATTACTGTGCATGAAATAAAAAAATAAAAAAACACATTTAATTGTAATAATTCTATAAAAAGAAACATTTATTTAAAAAATGTTTTCCTGGCATGTAATAAAAATTGTGAGTCTTTGACATGTTTGTCTGTTTATTGCCTTCTTTCCATTTTTTATTGTCTTATATCCTGGTTATCAAGTCACTGATGGTAGAGATATGAACAGTTAACTGATATTTCCTCAACAGTAACCCAGTCAGACTCCTAACCCCAACCCTCCAGTCAAAGAGTTATGGCTGCCACTTTCTTTGATTTTCACCAACTTTAAGTTGGGTTAAATTTAATTTGCTCTTTTTCAATTGATACATTCCACTAAAAACTTATACTGTACAAAATAAATTATTTAAAATGAACATTTGAAAACAAAAATGTGTTCTTTGAAAAACAGAGCATACAAGTTATTAGAGATTTTTAACAGATTATTTATAAAATTAAAGAAATATATTGCCTATTAAGTATGTTTTCAGCCTGATAGTGCTCAGATCTATGCAACCTGACTAACCATATAATTTTATTTCATTATTTTTTTTTTTTTTTACTTAGTTTCCTTCTTTGTTTTTTTTTCTGTCTTTCTGAATAATATGAATGAACTGTATTTTAGTCAATATTTTAATATTTTGAGGCATGGGGTTAAAAATTCATTTTAGAACCAGCTGAAGTCAAGAATGAAAACAACACTGCAAAAAATTTTTGTTGCTTTGAATTAGATCTACTTGTTGAGTCAATCTGGCTAAGCCCAACCCCTGGTGTGTGTGTATATAAGATCATTCTTATCCTGGCTATATATATATATATATATATATATATATATAGCCAGGATAAGAATGATCTTGAACAAATTAATAAATAAAATAAATATTCTCTATCAAGTGTTCCAAGAAATAGGAAGCAAGATAAACCTTTAAAAACAGAAACTATGACCTGCAATTGGAATGAAAGCAGTGATGACATACTCTTAATCCATCAGAAAAAATTAGCATGCGAAATTAGTAAATACGAAACACTTCAAATACTTCAAATTTAATACAGAGATAAAGATAGTTTTGCACAACACTGCAAGTTGCTACCAAACCAAAACATTAACCTAAAAAACTCAAATCATGTTCTTAAATAACCTTGCCAGTTCAAGGCTTTCATATGGATATTGTGTAGCATCAAGCCTGTTCAGAAATATCTAAACTGTTAGTTGTATACAACTGCTTTATCAGATTCAAAATGATTTTGAGTGAATGAAGCCTGTAGGTTTTAGCAAGGACCATTCTTCTTCAGACCTCATTGACTGTTGATACAGAATCGGAAACATAATAGTACTGTAACTCCTGTAAAAATGTATACAATTTTATACCCAATGGTTTGGTTACTGGTACTACCACCTAAACATTCATTTGACACAAGAGTCCTCTGATAACCTAAGAATTAAATATATATGATTATAAATTATTAAACTGTGGTCACAAATGAAGATAACATTATTAGAAAAAAAAAAGCATGGATAAATCATAAATTGAATATTGTTAGTTATTTTCCATTCCCAAATAATATCAAATTATATGTGTGAGTTATATATCAATGTTATATAGTATAGAATATAATATGATTGCAAGGATTTCCTATTTTGTGCAAAGTTTCCATCTTAAAATGGCATTAATACAAAAATATGAAAAATATTTTTCTGTTCAAATTCAGTCTAGCACTACATCTTTTCTTAAAATACAATTCATATTTGAAGGTCATTCCTCTTGTACACAAAATAAAAACCAGTTGTGTTTTATCCAAATAAAAACTAGGTAGGTCATAATTTGGTTTAAGAAACCAAATATGACCAGGTTGCGGTTAACATTCACTGCTACTTCAAATACTTGAACCCCAACATAAAGTTATAAAACATGTGTGCATTGTATGGCAGTAACCATTAAGATAACATAACTTCAATTCAAAGTCCCAAAACAGTTACTTATTGAAATGATAATACAAGAGGAATTGCTAAGTATTTTGTTATGAGACAGAAGAACATCACTGAAGTGATCAGTCAAATTAGTTTGCCTAGCTGCAAGCTTTTCAAGAGTGCAGTGAATTTACTCCTAGTTGTTTTTGGATCTGTACCTATTTAACAATTTTGTCTTTCAGTTTTGTTTATCACTTCTCATACAATGAATTTATTATAAGATGTTCATAGTTAATCACTTGTTGAAGCATCACAGCTACAGAAAAAGTTAAAATATCTCAAAAAAACTATTTAAAGATTTAGAGAAGTAATCAATACACCCCTTTGTTATTTACTTTTGGGGAAAAGTAAGAGTAAATGATTAAAGTTGATTGTTTTAGAACTATTACAATGAAATAAAGGGAATATTTAAAAGGCCTTCAAAAAGTATAATGGATGAAAACACTCAAGATTAATAAATATGCAAGCAAATGATTGAAAATAACTTACTGCAATATTTTTCATCATTTCTGTTCACACAATCTTGATCTTCATCACAAACCCAGCTTTGCTGAATGCATGTACATTTACTATCTCCACAGTTGAACATATTTTCTGGACATTGGCAGTTTGTTGCATTGAGCACTATCAAAAGAAATCAAACAAAAAAAATACACTTAATTTTGCAGTTTTCATTAAGTATTAATTTATTACTGGAAAGTAATCATTCAAATCCACAGTTGGAAAATGCAAAAAGTCTTAATTAATCTAGAAACATATTTCCTTTGTAAATCCTAATGTTTTCATTCATTTCCTGCAACAAAATAAACTGCCATCAAAATTACTTTGGAGAGGAACTGGAAAAAATGAGCTCATTAAAATCAATAAAAGAGTTGCCTGCAACATTTTCCCTACAGTTGTCAATTTAATCAAAATATTTTTTATTGAAAATTCAAAAATAGTAGATAAAATCAGTTGAATCTTAAACAAACTAAAAATATTCATGAGAAACAAAAAAGCATTTTATTCCAAATAGAATATAAAATTCAAAGAAATGTTGCAAAATCCCAATAAGCAATTTATTCAATAACTCAATTCCATTCTTTTACTATGTATGTATGTGAGAGAGAGGGAGCATACATCTTTATTGTATATTCAACAATGCACACACACACACAATTGATAAAGTTTACCACAATTTCATTAACAGATGCTATGAGCTGATGTGGAATTTCATTTTGTAGAATCAACACTTATTACCTAATAAACTGATATATGAAATTAAATTCTTAAATCATTTCTGTATATAGCTATCAAAAATGTTATGTCATTTTTAACATTATACACAATGAAACCAAATAGTATCTCATAATAATGGCAAAATTTATTATCATTATTCAATAATCTATGCAGATATCTTCATTTTGGTTGTAAGAATCATTAATGTTAGCTATTCTTTCATTGCCTAAACTTGAAATTGAACTCATAACCATCAAATAACTAGATACACAACCAACATTTATCAAATAGGACAGCTAATTATGGAGTTTGAAATCTAATGCCTTTTCTTTATTAATTAAAGGCTCCAATTTTATGCTCTTTTTTTCTAGGTTTGTCTTCCTGAAGAGCTAGTCCTGAATATGATGATAAACTACATCCAGCAGCAAGGTCTTTGGTCAGCAGACTGGAGATTTTGTGGAGTGTGGGATGACTTCTTCATTGTTGTTCCCAGGTTCACCCTGACAACAGGGTGGTAGCACCTGTTAAGGTCCCAGCTATGGGAAAATACTGCCCCCTCCAACAAAAACACTATGAAAGTATAAAAATAGATTTTAATAGTAAAAATACCTGCAATACATTTTTATATAAAAAAAGACCAACAATACATATTGTGACACTGGTAGTAAGAAATTAGGATTAAATGGGTTCACGTGAAAGTCCCATAAAAGAATTGGAGGATTGGAAAGTTTAGAAATGTTAAAAATATTAAGGTGAAAACATGAATTGAAATATGGAGCAAGGAAAAAAAAAAAAGTTTACCTTCCTTTCTGATAACCAGAAATGCTGAATGGAATGTTGAGTATGGTTTGAGAAATGTAAAATATAAACTGAAAAACAATTGGAATTGTTATGATTCACAAAACTGATAATGTAAACAATCCAATATATATAAAATGTAATTGTCAGCCAAAAAGTGAATTGAGTTGTTATAAATTGCAAAGCCAATAATGTAAACAATTTGGAGTATCATTTTGTAAAATGAGCAGAAAATTATTTGGGTTATATTGGGAAGTCAACAACAAACAAAATTCTTCAACATCAAGGACATAGAAATAATTTTTAAATGCAAAAGTTTGTTATTGGAAAAATTATTATTTTGGATAAGTGGCTGGCTGCTGACCAATTGTCATCAGAACATAGAAAGGAATGATAAACAAAATTTGTTTGAAGGTCAGTATTGGTTCTCCAAAATTGGAGAGATAGAAAATTGAATGGATATGAATATTAATGAATCTTGATGTGTTGTAGAAGTCAGGCAAAATACATATAAACAGGCACTTAGGTGACCTAAGACCAGAAGGCAACGAGAAGCCAGTAGAAAGCACAAGAGGCCAGAAGAGATTAGAAGATACTACATGACCTGTTGCCAAGTTCCTGACTTTACCTTGTTGTATTGTTTTTTAACCCGCTTCAAGTTTTAGAAGGAAAAAACAAAGTGTCATGATAGAGAGTTTAATGGGAAGGGTTATTTTGTTGTATCAACGACCATATAAACCATAGGAAAATTAACTCCAGAACCTTCTTTGTTATGAATGACTAGATTATTATACAATTTTTTATCTCACAAATTCAAACAGAAATGGCCAAATTTTGTTAGATTTATGTAACTTATCATGTGACTATGATAAGTGCATTTTGTTACATTTGATTTATGTTTGCTTTATTTTTTCTCTCAGAAATCTTAAAGCAGGAGCAGCTACAAAAGTGCAAACCTTGACAGGGAATGTGTCACATTGATATCTATATCCTTTGCATTTGTTGTGCCTGTTCACAGCCCCATATTGCATTTTATTTGAAAAAAACTGGCTTTTACACTGTGATTGATTTTCAAATTAACAGAGAAGATAAAAATAAATCAGTTTAAGTCAAAACACAACATTATTTGAAATTTGTTGATTTACCGTGTCATCAGTCATTCTTGGCCAAATGATGTTTGTTCCACTTTGACTAACAACGTAGAACGATTTCAATTTATGGTTTCTATTTGCAAAACTTTGTTAGTGTTGTGTCTCTACAAACAAACTCTTAAAGTAAATCTACAAGCAAAGAGATGTTTCTATTTCTAACTTTTCCAACACAATATTACAGGAGTCCAAGGTCAATATATTCCAAAGCCTAAGGTTTACTGATGCAAGCACATATATAAACAAACTCACCCATTTTCTTTTGGAATTAATTCCATGTCTTACAGCATAGATTGAACTCAATACTTCTATACAAAGATATTTCTAGTAAGTTATAGGTCTAATACCAACATTTAATTAAACAATTCTGGTAAAAGACTAGACTATAATGCATGCCTCTTACAGATGAATAAAAGCTAGTAAAAATATATTTGATTCTATATGGTGACATCCATCATTAAGTTGACACTGGAAAAAAATGGAAAACTGTTTTATCCCTTTTATTGAATGTTTTTAAAAAAACTTTTAAATTTTCTAATTTTACATATGTTAGAGTGAGTATAAATATTCTAACCTGACTGAATTCTAGTTTAAAAAATCATTATAAACCTGTACATTCTCAGTATATCAGTTATGTGCCATGCATGATACATGCTTAAGCGATCACGTATCTTTCGATACATGACTAACAAGGTAGATTTTTTCCCGCAGGTGGTTGCCATTTCTTTCTGCAGTAGCAAATCATTAATATCTTCAATGAAAACTTTTTCAGTTTCATACAGAATGAAATCAAATTGGATTTTATATTGATCACATTTCTCTCTTAGCTGAAATTCAAACTGTTTCATCATCATCATCATCATCTCAAAAAGAAAGTCATATATGCAAATCAGTCTAAGAAGCATAAGGTTTAGGAGTTACAAAAGAATCAATATTGGGTGGGGGTCACAAGGAGACAGCATGCAAAAGTGCTGAAATGAAACAACTAACTTAGAAATTATAACTAAAAGCATAAAACATGAAATTATTTCCACTGCAAAAGACAAAATAGAAACAAAAGTGTAAAATTTAAAATTCTTTCTAGATCTTTGTTTTATTCAAATTATACACAGATAAAATTCTAATAAATGGGTTTGTACCATATTCTGTTGAGTGGAATGACAAATACCCACATAAAATACTACTAAAGTTTATATATAAACAAACTGTCCAAAATGAAAAGTAACTTAAAAAAATATCAGAATATCTCTCTCTGCTCATGATATATTCTTTAAGGTTAATTTTCACTTTCTTGATATAGTGAAGTTATATTTTAACAGTAACATCTAAAGTAGATTTTATATTTTGTTATTGGAATTTTTTTTAAGTACAAATTTAAATTATATTCAAAGATAAGAAATGATCATATTTTATTGGGTCAACTTTTTCTTCTTTTTTTTTCTTAAATGCACACAAGAGACAGGCTGTTTTTTTCTAAACGATAAACATGAATACTTTTTTTCTTCCTTAGCCGGAAGGAATACAGAGGCAAAAGATAAATTTTAGTTACAGGAAATTTTAAATTAGAAGCTTCTTTCTCTCTAATGGGTTGGCATTACTTTCCATTATCACAGCAGTTGTTCTTAATAAAAACATCAATACGATTCATCAAAGGAAAAACAGGAACTTTACATTGAGATTCAATGCTGTTGATTCTTTAACTTTAAACATTTTTGATTCATCCTCGCCTTGTGCAAGTTAAACTCAGTTTCTGTCAAAATGATGCTTTAGCTCTTTCAGTTTGGAAGATCAACTGCACATACCAAATAAGTATATTATACAGCTAGATTTACTTTATTGCTAATTGACTAAATAGATACATATACAATATAAAGAAAAAATAAAAGGCTTTAAAGATTCATTAACTTGATGATTAATTCAGCTACCTACACTGAGTATTTTTCAATGCCCTTAAAAAATAAAATAAAATAAAATAAATATACTATCACAGAAAAAATTTATTGTAAGAAAATTTTAAGTACCTGAAATCCTGAATGGAAACTGATGCTTTCAATTAAATCTCACAAAGTAACTCAGTTAATTGCAAAAGTAAACTTTAATGGTAATGGTGAGATTAGCTGCTTCTTTGCACAGAAACATCCGGCATTCATTGACCAAACTGTTAGCATTACTGTTGATTGAAATTTCTAAAAGCTTTCTCTTAAAACAGTTTTTCAGTAAAACAGGTTTCTGAAGTCCACTGTTATCACTTTCTAGTATTGATGAGGTTTCCTTCCTATCTTTTTGATCAAGGTAATGTAGAAAGTCAATATCTTATTCTCATGTCATTATTTTCTTTTTTAGTTACATATGTTATCCATTTTCATTATTGCTGCTGTTGGAAGTATTCAAGTATACAGATTTTTTTGTGATTCTATAGTGTCAGTCTTTGAGATCTAATGAAGGATACCCTTCTTTAAA